GGAGAGAGAGAAGCAAAAATAAAAAGAAGAATAGGAGTAGATTTTGAACCAGATGTAGTGAGATGTGCCTGTATAACCCCAGTACTGAGGAGGCTAAGGCAGAAAAATGAGGACTTCCAGACCAGCCTGGGCTACACATTAGGTTGAAGGCCAGCCTGAGCTACATAACTAGACCCCCATCTCAGTAATAATAAATAACAACAACAACAAAAGAAAGTAAGTATGGAATTTCTTGTATTAGCCTGGCAGTGGTGGCACACACCTTTAATCCCAGTACTTGGGAGGTAGAGGCAGGCAGATCTCTGAGTTTGAGACCAGCCTGGTCTACAGCGTGAGTTCCAGGACAGCCAGGGCTACACAGAGAAACCCTCTCTGGGGGAAAAAAATTCAAAGGAGAGAGTAAAACTGCTTGAAAAATAACCCTGGGCCCCAGCCACTCACCCTACTCTGATTCCCGCTGAGCTCCATATCTCCTTCCTACTCGCCACTCTGGCCATCCCCAAGGTCCCACGCTCAAGTCACTAAAGGGTTAATTCTAGGCCCAACTGGATAACCTCACACTCTGCCCCTCAGGGTACTCTCAAGTCCCCAGACAGGGGTTGACTGTTTCTCCTAGAGATCCAGCTCTCACCGTCCTTGCTCCGATGACTCAGACCTCTGCTGCAGGCTTCTCTAAACCCAATCTCACACTGTCAACTGACCCCCTCCCTTCCTGGCTGATCTCACCCTGTCCTCTTCCTGGCTTCGTGAGACAGAGAAAAAGACGCTGATTCTAATCTCTACGGTTTCCTGGAGCTCCCAGATACAAACATCTCAGGGAGCTTTGACCTTGACAGAGTCCCTGTAAAGGGAGGGGCGGGATTGGCTGAGCGTGGTGCACACCTGTGATCCCAGCACCTGAGAAGCTGAGGCAAGAGGACCTTGAGTTTGAGACCAGCCTGGGCTACCAAAATTCTGTCTCAAAACATAAAACAAGGAAGGAAGGAAGGAAGGAAGGAAGGAAGGAAGGAAGGAAGGAAGGAAGGAAGGAAGGAAGGAA